CATGAACAAAGGTATCATTGTTGGAGAGATTAGAGGAGTGCGCGGTCACTCCTGGTTTGGTTTGGCGGGGAGATTTGTCATCGAACTTTTGTTGCATTTTGGGTCCCTTGGTTGGAGCCTCCAGACGATCCTTCAGGCCCCAAGTCTGTTTGATGAACCCATTTCAGAGCAAATCCAGCAGGAAGCTGTGACGTGAACACTTTGACCTCCAAAACAGCAACTATTCCAAGGGTCACACGTAGAGAGATTGCAAGTTTTTCTGTAGAAATTCATGCCCAATCATTCTCCTTTTACACCGTGCCTTTCGAAAAGCCCGATGTCGCCTCGCACGGCGTTTTCCACCCTTCCCCCCCTCTGGCGCCCCGGGTTGAGGTCCTTGGCGTTGGTACCTCTGTTGGACCTCTTCAACAATCGCCACTTAAGCTGATTCCATCAACGGATTCGGGCGTGCAACGAAGCCACACAGCAGGTGGTGGGGCGAACCGACGCCGTCCCCCCTGAGTTGTGCCAAGAGAAGATGAATATATATATATATGTATATTTATGCTGCGCCGCTGCGCGCCGTTTGCGACGTTGCGGTCCATTTTGTTTGGTGACATGTCATGAACGAAGGACGTGACAAAACTTCCAACGCAAATCAGATTCTCAAGACACTTGACAGGATTGCAATCAGTACAGTCAAGAGCAAGCACGCTGTAGTCCAAGACTGAGCATCTTAACTCTTCTTTAGTCTGTTAGAGAACCCTTGAGGATGACTCGTTTCCGCATGCGTTTTTGGGTGACACTGACATTTCCCTTCACTGCAGGTACGGACGCTCAACTCTGGCAGTGCTCTTTTGAACCCGACGGTTTGCCGGAAGACGGAGCGCTGTTGGTGGCCGAGCGTGGCATCGGCGCAGGGGAAGAGATCTTCCACTTGTACAACGCCAATTCCAGCGCGATGTTGTGGATGGCTTATGGCTTTCTGGAGGCCAGGTTTTGGAGATCTAGTGAGCAAGCCAGGTCGGGGCAATGGGCGTACAGCATTTAGCTCAGTAGATCGAAAGCAGCCGCCTTGACGGTCGCTGACTCCTGCTTAAGTCTTTCAACAGCTGCATGGACCCGCATCTTTCTCCGGTGTTGTTGGGAGTTTATCCCCTCCTTTTCCCCAGCTTTTTTTTCCTACCCAGTCAGGATAACCTTTAACCTGTTTGGAGCTTTTTTTGCCCTACTAGCAATGAACATGAGGGAAAAGGACACCACTTGGGAGTTCGTACGGGTATATCCTCTATGGCTCGGCCCAACCCTGACACCTCGAGGGTGAAAACCTCTTCGAGACTGCTGGGCTGACCGTGGACCTTCGTAGCTACCGTGATGCTTCACCATCGCTGTGGGCGGAGCTGAAGAGATGCTTTCGGAAGGCACCGCGGGCGCCGTCCGAATGGGTGGGGGGTTGGGCTCCGGCAGCCTGCACGAGAGATGGTGGGTGGGGCAGAAGGCGTGTGCATGGCTTGTTTCAAACGCATTTCTTTGGGTTTTAGGATTAAGACCTACTAATGTATTACAGAACTCCTGTGGAGGCTTGGCTTTGACCAGGCTACAACTCCGTCTTTCATATCGTCCGACCCATGGTTCACCACAGGCCAGCTGAGTAGTTCGGTGCCCTGTTTCTTCATCCAAGCTTCATGGGCCATGGTCGCTGCCAGATGAAATGCTGCAGGATGAAGGTGATGAAATGCAGCACCACCTCTTAGAGCTGCCAAAGGATGCAGAACTGGGAGGCGAGATGATGCCTTTGGCACGGCTTCTGACGGGCGGCTCAGAGCCGTGCGCCAACACTACCGAGACAGGCGCGGTGTTTGGCGCGGTTTTTGTTTTCTTCTCCGCTTTTTTTTGATGAAACATCGGTGTGTGGTGGTGTACATGACGACTCGGGGTTGCAAGAGTGGAACCTCAACTGGGGGGGGCTCCCCGGATAATTGATGATATTTGAAGGTATGATTGAAAGTGTTTGAATCAATTTATTCGGTGTATTCTTCATTGGTTGTCCTATCCAAGATGGCTAGAACAAGAACTTCTTTCAGCTGGGGTTCCAAGTTGGCCCTTTGAATCTCACCGGATCTGGACGGCGGACGGCGGACGGCGGACTGGGTGGGCGCTTTCGGATGGACGGACTGGGAGCCTTCGTGGGATGGATGCCGAGGGGATACGATCCAGTCGAATGCATCAAACATTGATCTTTATATCCTGGTGGGTTTTCATTTTATACAGATGGAGGATGATGGAGGGTCCAACCCCTAGCTGGAATTCCGGGGATATCTTTATCCTTTTACAGGTGTTTTTGTTTCGCGGGACCTGGAGACCTGGAGGCTTTTTTGCGCCCGCCCCCAACTCCTTTTTTTGTGGCAGATTCAAGAAGGACATACCACTTCTATCGACTTCTACCAGGGTCCTCCGACAGGTCACCAATTGAGACCTGTTTACGGTCCTACAACTCTCAACTAATGACCTGTTCAAGTGCGCTGGTATAACACAACTGTATTATGTATATAATATATAACATCAACGACCCCCAAAAAGACTTGGGGCTTCACTCAGTGGCTGGTCTGCCCCGTGAGCACAACGCATCAGGTGCCAAAACGCCCACGCGGGAGGACGGAGGTGGGTAGAGAGCTGGTGGATGAAGTGGCTGCGGGAGCACCCTGTGACTCCTGGACGTTCCTAATCGTTCCTACATGGATCAGTTCCTTGATGTGGTATGGGCTGCGATCTGCGGTGGGTCTCATTCACGCCCATCTAGAGTCTTCTTGATGTTTGGGTACACATTTTGAGCCGACATGGTCTGGAAACCGAAGGGGTTGAAACACATGATGTAGAGAATCTTGAATGATCAAAGCTCCCCAGACATGGACTATCGAGGACTGTACTACCTCTTCTTCCTGGAGCTGGGGGGGTGACATCGACTGCTCCCAGCGCCGCCAGGACTTGGCTTTGGAGCTGAAGGCCCGCCGCCTGGTCATCTCCTGGCTTCGCCAGGCCTGGCCCGCGGCAAGCCGGAGAGATGGCTGGCGTAAGGGGCGAACGTGTGTCTCAGGGTAGGAGCAAACACGTGGGAGTCACGCAGGTCCCAAAAGAAGTCGAGAAGGTGGAAGCACATCTCTTTGGAATGTTCAGAGGCAACAAACATTGGATGCAACATGATGCAAACCTTCAGTGGGTATGCTTTTACCTTTCACATCCTTTCACAACTTCAAAATTTTGCAGGGAAGACACTCAAATACTTTTGAAGACTCTGGTGATGGCTCACCAAGCTGCTTAGCTGCCTCCCCCGCGGCCTCGGTCCACCCGTCTACCGCGCCAACACGTCGAAGACACGACGAGGCACTGGAAGAGTCCAGGGCGGCGGAGGAGAAGCTGAAAGTTGAGAGAGGGGAGGAAGAGCCTTGGAGGCCGCTGGAGTCCGACTGGAGTCCCCTTTTTGCTCGTGGACCGTGTGAGACGCGTCCAGACGACATCCTCATATTCTTCTTTCCGGTGGCTTGAACCCTTGCCTGATGGCTTCAAGGTGCCCTTGCCAAACACACCACTGGGGACAGCGCAGGCTTGAAAGAACACCTAGAACAAAAAGCTTGGTATGAGTATGATTGGTTCTGGGATTGCTCTATTGAATCTTTAGACTGAGGATCGTCTTGGGAGTGATCCACCTGTCTTGGACCCCATTGAGCCATCGAGGAGTTACACACCTCATCTTCCCGGAAGCTTGGAAGCCCATGAGAACATGTATGAGACACATTCTCTTTTTCAGGGTGCAACTTAACTTACTAGACTATACATCATCCAACATGGCCCAACCAACTCGGCGTAACTCTCTAAACCCGGCTTTTCACCGGCGTAACGCGCGCGGCGGGGAACAACCCTTCTCTTCGACGTTCGACGACCCGCCCACGTGGCGCACCCGACCAGGTCGGCGCGGCGGCTCCTGCAGCTGGAACGACCCGTGCTGCAGTTGGAGTTGGACGTCTCCGAGAGGCGCGAGTCGGAGGTCGTTTTGTTTTCGACGTGGAACGGTGGAACCCACGTGCGGGGACGGCGAGTGGTTTGGTGGGCGGGTTGTGCTGTATGGCGTCAAGGAGAGATCCAAGGTGCGGTTGGTGGATTTCGGCAGGTGGAATGGCAAGGGGGTGGCCCAATGCAATCAAGTGCGTGTGGAATGGCAGAGGAAGGTTCCACCCCTTCGGCCCTTCGTTTGCTCCACCCCTTCGGCCTGTGGCCAGTGCCGGCCAGTGCCAGGTTTTGCTCCGAGGGTTCTGAGGCTTTGGAGGGCGACTTTGAGGCCTTTGCCCAAAGAACTTGGCAAAGGGACTCTGGATGGATGGGCGCCGGTTGAAAACACGAAGGACATGTTGGCGCCGGTTGAGAAACGATCTGGTTGGCTCGAAATAGGTAAACAAAGGTGTATAGCTTTCTTCGTGCCACAGCTGGAAGTGGAACGTTTAGAATACATTGAATACATCAATACACACTGTATTTGTTTTATTATTGTCATTATGGGCTGCATTTCCAGTGCATCACAGCAAAGGGCCCTCTCTCCCGTCACGTGCTTTTCCATGCGTGTAATGGATGACCCTCACATGCCATTGGCATCGTCACAAATTGGGATGTCGTGCAGCAGATTCAGTACACTCCCGAAAACTCACATGGACCCCTGACAATGGCACGCTGGAAGGTTGTTTTCCTCTAGCTGCGCCCGTGGCTTTCAGGGTCCATGGGATCGTCTTCCAGGGTCTTCCTAGCACCCTCCTGGCCAGGTGTTTCCTCATCACAACAGGTGTCCAGGTTCCCCCTGTGCTCGGGTCTCCATCTCGAGCCGAACCGACCGGAGGGTCGTAGATCAATTCACTCTCTCCATCACCTCCGTCCGCGGTGTAGGATCCGGTTCGCGTCGCGTCGCCGCGGCCCACCGGGCTCCCAGACGGAACCGCCGTGCGTGGCGTTTTGGGGCGGTCGGACCGGGCGCGGCGATGGTGAAGGCGATGGATGCGGTGGCCGCTCGCAAGAGTTTGTAGTTTCGGGTCAGGGAACTTTTTCGATTTGGGGGATCTGGACTCCAGTGAAATTGTGTAGCATCTCGAAGTCAGTGGCAGATGTGGCAGTGGCTTATTTTGCTATAATGATATGGAGAATTCTTGGTTCTCAGGTCTTTCCATCTGGAGAAGGGAATCTCCCTTCTCAATTGGAGTAGCTGCTTCATTCCTGAGTCTGGACATCGTACTCCTGGAACAATGAAGGCCCCACGTGTGGAGCATGAGAGACACCTTTACACGAGTTAACCTGGAAATTCTGAATGGGACTGACAGAGACGCATCTAGAATGGAACCTTTCATATCCTTTCATCATATCCCATCCCCTCTGCTGATTCTGATTGAGATCGCCGTGTTGCCATTTTTCCTTTTCTTGAGGAGAATGGACGGGTCCATGTGGCGGAGGGGCAAAGCAACAAGGAATGGCTCCCGCAGAGCGGCTATGGTGGGACAGGTGGGACGCGATCCGCGTCGGGTGTCGGGTTGTGGGGAAAGAAGGACCAGTTTCATCCGTGTCTCTGTGCCAGGTGAATGTGTTTTTTCGATCTAATACATTCTAATATATAGTTGGGTTGCAAGTAGGTCTTCTTATGGCTTTTTTGAATAAGTAGGGTGCTTGCTAGCTGCTTAGGGGCTCATGATGTGGGAGTCTTGCCTTTTTCCGGTCCATGTTCGGGTTCTTTTCAAACAGAGCCCCAAAGACTCAGAGCCCCACCGGGCATGTTTCGAGTCGCTCGCAGAGTCGACGGGCGATCTGACCTGGATCCAAAGAATCGTTTGACACTTGGCTGTGTAACCAACTCTATCTTGGATCCTCCATAGGCTTTCAGAATCGAGTTGAAAAGCCACCAGCAAAGCTTCACCCGTCCCACGGTCCCACCCTATCTTCACCTGCTTATTAAAAGGCGCCTGTCTTTCACTTCTGCCGCTTCAAAAACCGCTTGCCCCGCCCTTGCCTCACTTCAGGCGGTCTGAAAGCACACCTGGCCCAGCGTGTGCCAGTGCTGCGGGACGCCGCGGCCTTTCGGGAGGTGCGCCGCATCCTCCGTGAGGAGCCACGGCGAGCCGTCGAGCTGTCGACGGGGGCGAGCGACCAGGGCGAGCGAGCAGTTAGAGTTTGCTCGATTGAGGGTGGTACCGGATGGGGGTGGTAGGATGGCGGTGTTCAGCGCTGAAGCCTCGACGATGGGTGCCAGATCTAGCTCTTGGGGACGTGTTAGCATCAGTACGTGAGAGCTCTTGGTTGGAGGGCACAGAGTCGGTTGCAGCCGGGTGTTCTTGTTGTCCAACTGCAAAAGGAACCAGTTCAATGACAATGGGCCCCTGAGCTGAGCAGCTGCTCCGATACAAGTGTTGAAAGGGACTTACTAGATGTTTTGTTTCTTGGTACATGAAGTTACATTTGGGTGGATTTGGGTGTTTTATTTTCGTGCCACAAGCTGAAGGTGAGATGCTTTATCCCAGACCCAAAGCTGGTTTCAACCAGTTATAACATATGTATTATAATGTAGATGATGCCAGTAAGATGTCAGAAGGGGCTGGGCACTTTGTGAAGTTTCTTAGTCCTCACTTGATTCACTGAAGATGTTTGTCCAAAGCGTGTTCCCAATGTCAAGAAGCGTCACTGTGAAGATGTCTGTGAACTGCCCTTGCTTGAGGCTCTTGGAGGGTCCTTCCTTCTCTGGTTGGTCGCTTCAGCAAATCATTGCAACCTCTTTATTCAAACGGTGCTGAGATCCATCAACCATCAACCCCATTTCGTCTTCGCCTGCGTTGTGAGGACTATGGCGGGCCTCGGGCGCTCTTGGCCGAGCTGCGGACGCAGGGATTCGTCGAGAACAGCCGCCTGGCGACGGGTGAGGGTGCACCCTTCAACCTCTTCGCGCGGCTGGCAGATGGTCAGATGCAACAACCAGGTGGGGAGGAGATGGTTTGGAGCTGCGGGTGAAGAGGGAGTCTTTAAAAAAGATAACAGCTTTGGCGCCCCACGGTCAGGTCTTTGGAGCGTTTGCAATCGAGGCTTCTTCTCGGAACAGGCTTCTTCTCATTGATCTCGGAACAGACGCGTCACCAGGGTCAGTACTGTACCAACCCCAGACGCTCCATGTATACCATAATATTCCATACAAAACCACCCCAAATGCCAAAACCACCCCTGATCGGCATATATGCCAGTCCCACGGAGTGTCAGCACCAACGGGAGGGGGGAGGGACCACATCGGCTTTCGGGATCCTGGCCCGTGCGAAACGGGCGGAACCGGCGGAACGGCGGTTGCCGTCGGTTTGCGAGGCATGGAGGAGGAGCAGGCTGCTTTGATGCTCGATCTGAGTGGCGGTCATGTAGATGGTTGAAGACGGTTGATGAATCAAAGCCCCAGAGGAAGAGGTTTTCTTTTTTCAATGTTTAAGTCAATCATAACCACGAGCGGTTCATTGCCACTGAGCATCGGACATCTAGCAAAAAGTCTTCGCCAGGGGGGGGCCACTGGCCACTTGCAGATTGTTGGTGAAATCTTTGAGATTCTAAAGCCGTACACTCTTATTATGATTGTACATGATGTAATTTACATTAATTCACTGTAGTTCTTTGTAGTTCTTTGCTGGTGATAGTGATGGTGGCTTGGGTCACAGTGGGACGTGTTGATACTCGTGAAGGAAGGCCCATTTATGTCCATTTCGATATGGGCGTTTGCTTGAGCTTCCGCAGTCCGCCTTGAGGAAGGACTATGGGCAGATCTTCTGCATCTGCAAGAACCGGCCTGAGAATGATGAGAAGTGGCAGTCCGAGGCGTCCGACAGCGTCCGGCCTGGGTTGCGTCCGACGGCTTCCTGCAGCACATGTGTTGTACCGAGACATGTGGGATCAATTGCGGAACTTGGGTCCATACCTAGAAGATCTAAGTAGCAGGTCGCCATGCATCACTTCAAGACCCTGCTCCTTGGTATTGCTTTGTTTTACTTTTTTTTCGTTTTCAACCTTTAGAAGATTTTAGAAGACTCATCGGAAAGAGACTCGCTGGTGAAAGGGTCGCACCACCTTCGTCAGCCCTTCGTCAAACGACGAAAGGCACCTTCAACGTGCCAGACCTTAGATCCACTGGACCTTCAGCCGTCACACGTCTCTGCGTTCTCGTCCGCACGCCGCGCGTGGACAGTGGACGTCCCCTCGTGGCGCAGGATGCCGAGTGGCTCGGGAAGGCCTCCATGGCGGCACGGCATCGCTTCTTGACCACCAAGGAGCGTCGCATCTCTACCACGAAGCCGAAGGGTGATGGGAGAACTGACTCATCCGCCTCATCCTGCCTCCGACATGTCCGCGACATCCAGGGGGGTGGGGCAAGAGATGGGAAGAGGATGAGATGAACATCGATGTTTTTGGGGGGTCTGAAATGAAGAGTCAGGTGTGGGCGGTCCAATGGGTTCAAGACATCGGTTTATCGCATCATATTCTCTATGATATGTATGTACTTAGTAACAGTATATATCAATAGCATACAATAGCCATGCATGTATGAAACTATCCCTAAGGATCCAAGTACCTTCTCAGGCGGTGATTGGAGGCACTGTTATGTAGGTATGGAGGGTCCAAGTACCTTCTGAGGAGGTACTTGGATCCTTAGGGTATATAAAATAATTGGGATATGGATCCAAGAGGTGGTAGACCTTGGTCCAAATCAATCTCTCAGACCGTGGCGCGGTGACCCAACAAACGCTCGGTGTCTCAAATTTTTTCTTTTCTCCTTGTCCAGCAGCTAAGATCGAGCGTATGTCACCTTGTCACCTGCATGCCCCACAGGATCTACGGTGGAACTTCTTCAATGCCCTTACCATGGGCAACTGGGACTCTAATCAGGAGAGGGGTCGAGTGTAAGGTGTGGGCGTAAGAGAAGCGAATTGTTGATTTCTGTAGGGTCTGGAGGAAGAGACAGATGCAGGAATCAAAAGATCTCCTGGTCATGAACCACTAATATAGCGAATTCCATGGTGTACTGCTAGCAACTGAGGCATGACCGACGATGACGATGTGGTTGGAGGCCTTTCAGAGTCAGAGCTGAGTTGGCAAAGCTTTTCCTCAGTTCCTTTCCCAACTCCACTGAACCGCGGTGTTCGCACCACCCAGTGGCGACTGGGGAACCAAAAGGGACCCACTCCAGCAATCAGTGATGGAGGATGGATAGCGTTAATCAGTGATGAAGGACGGCGCGCGTTCGGACGCCCTGGGGAAAGGAAGCAAGAACCGAACATTCCCTTTATTTTCCTATTAGGAGGGAGCACAGCGAGCAGGAATTGGTGAAAAGAGGTCTCCTGCAGATGAACAAATGGACCCTGAAAACCACGGTCGGGTGGTAAGAGACGAGGAGTCAGATTGGGATCGTCTGCAGGGGCATGTCTTCACGGTCAGGATCGTCTGATCGTGGACCGGTGCCTTCCAGCTCCAGCTTCAGCCGAGAACATATGGGTCAAACCCTGCTTGAAAAACTAGAAGAGGAGCACCCTTCCCCAACTAAAAACATGCCCAAATCACAATGTATGTAGTGAAAACAGGTTCGATTTTGGTGCACCAATCCTGTGGAAAGCGAATGCGCATGTAACCTAGCTTGACCCCTTGGTTGCGAGTGAAGACTCCCAGGCAGGCAAGATGAGTCGTTGGAAGTTCTGGGAACGCTCCCGCACAAGTTGAAGTTAAGAATGGGGGGAAGGTGATGGAAGGTGACCCATTTTCACCAAAGTGACAACATGTGGAGGCCAATTTTTAGAAATCCGGTCCGGAACCTGTAGCGCACGGTGTTGGTGTTGGTGTTTGCCACGCGGTGGGTTTACCTTGTGGTTTGCCACGGGGTTTTAAGCTCGTCTTCGATCGTTTTGTGAGACGGCCCATGAGGGCCATGACCAACGTGAGTAGTTGTGCTAAGGAATCCATTCAACTCTTGGGACAGCTCAAGGCCGCAGCCATGACCTACGTGTCTTGGACTGCGGGGATCATGGGGAGGGAAAGTGCATGGTTGGTCCGGGGAACTCGACGTATCACGAAGGGTCGCCTCAGGGCTAGTAGCGAGTTCTCCTTGCTTTAGCAAACATGTATTCGTAAGCAGGACCTTTGCCCTTTTCTCTCAACATCTCTCAAAACCAGAGGGTGTGGAGCTGCACCGGGACTGAGCCCCGCCCTTTTCAGGCCTCGAAGATGGGAACCTGGTCCGAGAAACTGGGCCTCTTCTTCCACGTCTATGGCCACAACTCGGTGCCTTCGGCCCCCAAGCGTCCCTGGATCGGGCGCGCGTTCAGCGGCGAGGTTCGGCACGGGTGTGCGCCCGCGCGTGTTCGGTGGCTGCGTTCAGGCGGCGGAGGGATCGGGGCAGGAAAGGCCTTGGTGGCGATGGCAAGGGGAGTGGTCGACTCGTTTGGATTCGACTGAGCCCAGAGTGAAGGATGCTGGGGGCGGACACTCTCCGTCACTCGATTCGCTCGACGTCTCTCCCTCTCCCAGCGATTTGAGTGTCGTGGACCGTTTTCTCGGTTTTTGCCGCATGATGAGGTGAATTCTCTTCACCTGCACCTGGTGGACATGAACTTTTTGGGTCCCACCTTTAAGATCCTTGGAGCTTTAACGCCGCTGGGTCGAGGGATGTTGATGCAGACCGAGTTCGGTTGAGGATTTGCTTGCACGTTGCGCAACGCGCGGGTCTGCTGACAACGGGGCTTGGGAAGTGCAAGAGTTCACTTGGCTAGTATGCTAGTGGAGTGGTTGGATTGAATTGTGTACATGATGGCAGAGTATTATATATATATGGCAGAGTTGTATAGACCCCATAATATAGATAATTAAATGACTATATATATATATACACCTGGAACTTCGTTACGGCAATAACAATTGCCGTTTTCATGAAACATCGCCTTTTTCCGTTCTGCGGCGTTCTTCCCTATTGATCTCATGGGGACGGCGCTTCTTGATGAACTGCGGCAGTTTCGGTCAGTTGACGGCAATTTTGGTCCACACATCCATGCGCCTCAAAGAGTCATTTCAACATTTCCTTTTAGTGCAGGCGAGTATGAAGACATTGTAGGGTCTTGCTTGAAAGGCAACTGAACGTAAAAGGCATCTAATTATATCAGCAAATTCACCTAGTCATGTGAAGTGGAAAGGGCAGATGGAAGTGTCACATGCTGGGTTTTCGTCGGTTTTCGTGGGTATCTTGACCTCTTGCGCGGCACTGCAGAAGACTTAGCATTTAACGTTGCGGCGCTCTTACCCGTGCTTGCGGCGTTTTTCCCCGTACTTACGGCGTTTTTCCGCTACTTACGGAGTTGTTCCCCGCGCCCTCTCTAAGGACACTCAAGGTGGCAGCCAGACTTATCACAGCCGATCCTTTCAGACATTGCGCGATCAAAATGTAAACAAACCCTGCCGTGACGTCAATCGAGACCTTAGCCAAGGGCCACAACATCTTGAGAAGTGCTAACATGAGGCTTGAAAACGATGAGATCTACTTGCAAGTGGAGAAAGTTAAAGGCAATTTCTGGGTATGGACGGACAAAAACCATATCCTCTTTGGTCTAGATCAAACAAAACGGTGACTATTCAATTGTGACGCGTTGGCGTTTTCACTTCTCTGACGGCGTTTTCACTTTCCAGGGCTTGAGCTACAGCAGAAAAAAAGAGTTACGGCAAGAAATATTGCCTCCAGCAAAATTATTGCCTCGGGAAGGTCTAGGTATATTGTTCCAAGATTCTTGGATATTTTTTCTATAATTGCACCGACTACTATTCTCCGGTGGGCAATTTGCTTTGAAGCAGGCCCTGGCCGGCCTAAACTAGTGGCCAGCATGTTTTAGCTACTTTTCCCATCACTAGGAATCCAATAGAATCCAAAGGGGGTTCCGACGTGATGTTTGTTTTTTGTGTATACAGGTTGCCCCCGATGCACTGGACCGTGGTTCTTAGAGTCTCCCTTTGGACCATGCAGCAGACCACAAAGCATGCAGCATTGAGGGTCCAAGATCTGTTCGATGAGAAACTGCTGAGGAAGTTGGACTACAAAAACTGTCCCCTGAGTGCCGTTCTAGAGGCTGGACAGGCTTCTGTGAGTCGAAACTGATTGAGAAAAACGATGAGGTGCTAAACGAAAGAAGGAACAAATGTCGGAAACGATGAGGTTGGAGAAATGGAACTGCTTGCAAGGTTCGAAATGGCAAATGGCAATCGTTTTGATTCGTTTCGTCCTAGCTTCTGACCACTTTCTTTGAATGTGTCCACCCTATCCCTCTATCAATCTGAATACCCCGTGAATTTGGAAGACTTCACCCACTCACGAGTGGGGCAAACGCCAGACCGCGCCGGCCACGCGGCGCGGGCCACGCGGCGCGGGCCACGCGGCAGGTCTTGCAGGATGAGCTGGCGATGGCCACCCGGCCGCCACGAGCTCCGGAGGACGTCATCGACTTGCCACGTGGCTCCAAGACGTGAAGTTTGGGTTTCGCCGAAAAACGTGGGAGGTGGGTAGCGTTCAAAACCATTAAACCTCTAAGGCGTGGGAAAAGCGTTATTGGTCCAAAAAGAATCAAAAAGACCTATTTGTTTTTTCCAAGACATGTTGGAAGCAAGTAGGATTTTTTCTTGCGCATGCGATGTTCTTGCAAGGCTCACAAGCGGTCAAGAATTGGGATTGTTTGTGTGTCAAATTTGTGTTTTGAAGGCTGTGAACCTGCGGGTGTTCCGCAATCGTGCAAGTACAAGTGAAGGACCCAGAGACAGGACTCTGTCTTTGAATGCCTTTGCCCGCAAGGTGCTAACCAACCAGCTGGCCAGTGTTTGACTCTTAGGATGGTCGGGGTGAAACCACCCCATTCGCTGAGACTGAGATGACTTGGACTGTGCGAATCCGAACGAACTGCACTTTTCTTCCCATGTCAAGGCCAACGGGTCGAAGGCAAAGCCAACTTGATTCTGTGAAAGGTGATGTGCACAGCCCTTAGGGTGCACGCATCATGCCACCAGAGGTAGTCTGGAAGTGACTTTGCTCGGTGGTATGGGTGGTATGGGAGCTTCACTTTCACCGCAGATTCATGTTGGATTCCTTTTCTCCTTTTGTATCCTTTTGGTCGAGACGGTCGTTCTCCACCTGCATCCGTTCTCACCTGAGGAACGTCGCAGGGGAGCTGCTCTCCGTGTCCGCGGCCACCTTTGCGGCGGCCAAAGGCCTGCGTGCGCCCGGACGCCTGCGGGACGCCCGGTGAAGGGGGAATGAGTCGGAGAGGCCCGGTGAAGGAGGTGGGTCTCGCTCCACAGCGGCTGAGGGGCGAGCCCCTCTGCAGCCTCTAGAACAGTGATCTCGATCGGATGGAAGATGTCGGAAGGGTCGGGTGAGAAGCCGTTTGAACATCATCTCCTCGTTTCAAGCCGGTTTTCGTGTTGGTGAAGGTGTTGACAGAATGAGGACCCCAGAACAATGGCACATCGGGCGTGCGTTTTTTACTCTCTCTCTCTCTCAGAGGCCTCAATCAAGGCGTTTTGTCGGGAACTGTATCTTTCTCGGATGCCCCCATGATGGCCGGTCTGTCCTTCATCGCTAGCGCCGCTAGGGTCGTCCTCCCTCTCTCTGTCCTCTTCTCAGGATGCTCAGGGTCGCCTCTTCCTGGACCTGCCGGTCGTGCTGGTGCGTGAGATCTTGGATGCCCTGCGGCTGCACGGCCTACGAGGTCATGTCGGACCTCTGAAGCTCAGGCAGACCGCAGTGCAGAGCCGGGAAGGTGTTGGGCACGGCGATTGGAAGGTGACAGGAGTTTTGATCACAGGTCAAATCCGAACGGATACAACACATTATGGCAATACGTATGCATAACTACGGCAGAATACGGTATTAGACACTGATCGAATTGGCCCGTGCATCTCATTCTCGAGGAATTCTACCCTATATTCCTGAACATATGGGGGTTGGTTTTGACGGATTCCGTGCACGCTTGGTGTAATTGGTGGGGGACCCTGGCTCTTGGGGGACTCGCTGAATGGCTCTGCAGGCTCGTTGACGAGGACGCCGGGCTAGTAACGCGGCGAGCTGCTGTTGTGGCTAGTGCATGGCACCTTGCTGCTGGTTGGGACTGAAAAGCAATCTGGAATCGTGATGAATCTCATGAAACTCTGTACAGCAAGCTACATACCGTTGAAGGGAAGTTCTGATACATGGTTCTGGAGGCTTCTCCTTCTGTAGGCGCATGTACTGGACTGATCACTCTTTACACCAACTCTTTGGCTGTTCGAGTGCTGGCGGACCGTTTCACCGGCACTCGCCTCCCTTGGCACTCCTCCCAGCCTCACCCGTCTCGACGAACGCCCTGGTCGATGCCAGGACCGCCAAGCTGTAGCCGATGTGCTGGGCTTGACGCTGGAGTCCCCCGAGACCTGAAGTCCTTCGTCCCGGCCAAGCCCGGCTCGTCCGCGCTGCGGCACGCCGGGCCTGGCACGCAAGGTCTGTTTTCGACCACTTGACATCTCAATGTCCGCTTCAAACAGTGAATCTTGCTGGATGTTGAGGTCCTGCCAATTCCAAGCTTGTCAGGATTCCCAAACATCAGCATCAAAATCATCAAACATCTAATCCCGGAGATTCTGAAAAGACTTCCAGAACAAACAACAGGATGAAACCGGATGAAAGGAACATGGGACACACGGATCCGAGTGTCGTCTTCTCTCAGATCTCTCAGGTGGCCGCCACCTCACCAAGACATTCAGGCATGCGCCTCCCTGCTCCTAGTCGGAGGAAATCTGGAATTTCCATGCAGCGGCAGGAGCTTCTTGGTGCACTGATGAATGATGATGAATGCGAGTGGCTGGTCTTCGCACACACGCCAGTGCCAACAATGCATGGGCTGACCTGATTGCATGAGTCGGCGACGCAAGGGACTCCTTCCAGGTCGCTTGTGAACACAGCTGAGCTCTAGCTGCTAGCTAGCATGGTCCGCCATGCTACGCTGAGCGCTGCAGGAGCCGTTCCAGTCTGGAGAAGGTGGAGGAAAGCCGAATGCATCGCTGCCACACTTGGATGAGATCATCCCCGAGGCAACAAAAAGGCTCATGCCTTTGCACACCTGCCGGCATGGGATGCATACGCTGCATCCATCAAGAACATCTTGCAGGTGCTTCATTCTGTTCACCTTCAGGTCCCTGTAGCGCCCTCCGGCCACGACTGCCGCAGCGGACGGCGACCGGCTGCCCGAAAGCGGTCTACGAAAGCGGACGCGGAAGCGGACGTGGTCTACGTGCGGTGGAAAGCAGGGAGCCGAAGTTGACGCAAACCCTCTGCCAGAGCTCTTGAGGGCCAGCAGTTCTGATTTGCTAGGAGCAAGGTGAGCTAAGTGTGTTGAATCATTGAATGGGAAAACGACTTGCCAAAGACACAGAGAAATTGGATGCTTTTTAAGGCTCCGCCACGGGACTCAGAGGGAGGTCAGTGAATGTGATTGGGGATTAAGCAGGTGCTGCGCGTGGACACCTGCGTGCCCAGGCAGGGGTTCCGTTGCGAGGTCGCGTGCGGTCGCGTGCGGTTGAAAGCCCTGTGAGTCTTTGGATCGTTCTGGGAGCATGCAGTATGACTTGATATCTTGAGATATATCTTGATACATCGTTCTGATCGTTCTTGATATATGCCGAAGTCCATCGGCTACGCGGCTATCGTGTGTTGTTGCCCTTCAGTTTGTGGCGATGCGAGGCCTGGATTGAGATGCGAACCTGCGCGGTGAACGCCGTTTCTCTCTTTTTTTCCTCTGTGCAGCTGTTTCCACATCGAACTCGCATGGGTTGCATGACTGTCAAGCAAAGCATCAACCCACGCAGTCCTTCAGAAGACACATGAAGACACATGAAGACACCCGAAGACTGGATAAGGTGGTCATGAGAGTGTTTGGGGTCCCGGAGAGGACGTTTATGAGTTCCATGTCTTCAATTGGGACAGCCCCAAGACCTTCCATAAAGTTGGGTGCTGATTGGAGGGTCGGGCAGATGCAAGCCTGCCCAGAACATCCACTCACTTGGGGATTTTAAGTAGTACCACCCTGACATGGAACTCCTGGTCTATTCTTTGTTTTGGTTGAGGGCATGAGTAGTTGAAGACTCCCGAAATTTCCCAAATGCTGGTGCTGGACACACTTCTTGAATACGCGTTGTTGATCATCTGCCATCAAACAGCATTTGAAGCTGAAAAAGAACACGGCTAGGTCAAGATTGCGCAAAATTCCACCAACCTGTTTGGCTTACTGTAATCATCATGAATCATGACTGCTATTTCATTTCCAGGTGTTGTTAAGTTTGTTCTGCGATCCACCCAGAGGTGCTTGGCACCAGGCTTAAAACACCAGAGCTCAGACGCATTTCTACACAGAACGGTGGCCGGGCCGGGAGCTCTGCACACGGGAGCTCTCCGCACGAAGAGGAGCGGCGGGCCAGCAGATTTGGAGAGAACGACGTAACCTCTGACACTTATATTTAGACCCCAAATTGGATAGAAAAGTAGAATCCCTTTCACCATGTATTTGGACACATTTGGACACCGTTTCAATCTGGGGACCACTCTAAACAGCCAGAGCTTCACCCGTTCGCTGCGCTTGTGCGGACCATCCTCTGGAGGGATCGGTCCGTCACGTCCGTCACGTCCTGGGATCAGAAGGCTTTCGGACGTGCCCGGTGCCCGGACCATGACGACAAGATAGGTCAAGTCTCCAAGTGCCAACCAGTTGCTCTCCGAAAGCTTCGCCTGGGTGGGGATAAGCTATATATACCATGATACTATAGGTTCCCCCAATGTCTGTGGATCCTTTGGTGCATGTCATTTGGATCCTTTGACATCGGAGGTTCCTGTTTGGGGAGACTCGAAAAACACCGAGGGGTGGAGTTGTCACATGTTGTCACGGCAGGAGCCCGACCACCGTCCACCGTCCTGGTCCACGCTGCGAAGGACCGACAGCACGTATTACTTCGTGCCTGGTCGGCTTCCTGGTGCTATGACCCTACAGCTAGTTCCACCTTGAGACATGGGTCACCAGTCACCTGCAGGTAGATCGCACCACTCAAGGTCCAAGGGTTTGGCGGACCCACTGACCCACCGTCGGACCTGCCCAGGAATGGCTGTGGCCCTGCGGCGACCCATCCCGGTGGGGGGGGCCCGAGGGAAACACCTTCAACTCGTCGATGGTGTCTTGGCGTAGCCCCATGGTCCATACAATGGAGGAGTGTTGCACCATGTTTCACCATGTTTGCACAGGAGAGTAGGGTGTCCAGGTTTCCATTCACTCGAAGAGATTGGAACAAGACTCGGCCACAATCGTTTAGGAGTTTGTTTAATCCGCATGACCAAGCCGGATAACTTTTTCATCACTTTTTTTGCACCCATCGTAGGCACTTTTGGGGGCTCTCGCTGAATCGGGGGGGAAGTACACTCCCTGGAATGATCATGGTCAATTGGATGGCACCAGCTGTTTGGTCTTCGGATGTCTTCGGATGAAGCAATGAACCATGGTCGGAACCCCAACCTCAACACCCCGGCCCGACCTGGGGACCTAGCGCCATCTGACCCATGAGTTTCTTAGGGATGACTCGATGACCCGCCACGCGCCATGGTCATCCCCGACTCTTGGGTCACCGCCACCCGCCTCGCCACCCGCCCAGGCGCTCGCCTCCAGGGCCACCCTGGCGTGTCGAGGCGTGTGAGGGCCGGCGTAGCTGGGGCGTGGGCGGTGGAGGTGTTCCAGATATCGGAGTGAGTCTTGCTGGGCCACTTGAGCCTTCAGCCGTGGCAACTCTTCTTTTTGAAGCATCCCATATTCTAGCGTGCAATACTGTTGTGAATGTATGCATTCATCCCGGAAAGCACCTCGCAGAAGGGACAGTTTATCTTCCACATCTTTCACCCAGGTGGGCTGAACTGCAAGATTGGAAGATTGGAATTGGAACGACTGCCGCATGTTCATTTCCACTGCACAGGCCACGGCTGCCGGCGCTGGAACTCCAGTTTGGATGAGGTGCCCGACCTCCTTGCTCCCATTTCTGTGTGGAGAGATGCCACAGCGGGCTCCCTCGAAGGGAAGGAATGCCTTCAGGTGGATTCGTGGCACTGGTCACTGACCAGCGAGCAGGAGAAGGATGGCATCGACAGGAAGAGGCCAAGCGCTGAGGGGATGAAACGTGCTTTGCTTTCGTGAGAAGCGCCAAACGCGCGCGGCGCCTGACGGCGCATGTCGTACTTGGCGGGACCAGCGGGATTGTGACCACTGTACCGTTGCGGAATCAATCGGGTCATTGTTGTTGGGTTCATCTGGAATCTGGGGTTGTCTCACTTGGAGACAAGCGATTACCTTCATCTACTCCCAAAGTGATGCATGTTCTGAGGAAGTGCACTGACCACTCTTTGCCCATAGGCCTCCCAAGAACAGATTATAGAAGTTGGTTGCCTTTCAAGAAGTATTGGAAGACCCGCTTCTATCTCTTCGCACGTTCGTTCCTACCTGGCGGTTCGCCGAACGGATGTGTCCTACCTTGCCTCCTTGACCAGGCATGAGCCGCGAGGCAGGACGATGACAGGAAGAGTGTTTCTTCAATCCGTGACAGGTCCCCGCAATCCGTGGAGAAATCATGGAGAAATCATGATGGATGTCAATGTGATTTCATCATCATATATATATATAAATGTATAATAAATCAATCATCATAATCATTTCATCCTTCATCCTCTTCATCCTCTCGAAGAGTGAACTCTTCCGCCTCACTCCTTCATGCATCTCACCACTCATTCGACCTCTTGATCCGACCTCGACCTCATCGCAAAACCGGATTTCTTCGGCGATCGAAACCCGACCCGACTGTTAGCTCGGAGGGGCATCGTTTTGGATGTCAGGAAGAGGCAGACATGTTTGGAAGATCTACTCATCTACTACAGGATCTACTATAGGATCTATACAGCTAGGATCTATATAGGTCTTGCAGAAGAAAAAGGGAAGGAGGATTCCAATCGCCAGCTGAGGTTCTGGTTGAGTTCTTGGGAGCGGTTTTTTTTCGGCCGGATTTCTCCGGTGGCATGACCATGCGCAAGGCGTGCCCTGCCGACGGATGATGTCAGGACAGGGGTTGGGTGGTGGGGACACCGTTGTTTGCATGTGAAGGGTGGTGGGGTGGTGGGCACACCTGATGTCCTTCTCGGCAAATCTCCTTCGAACATATAGCAGTTGCAGTGATTGTTGTTTGATTCAATCAACCTCTTGGCTCAATGGGTCCAGAGGCTTTGTGACATTTTGGAAGATGGTATTTGGAGGTTTCCAAAGTCTGCATTTTCATACATACATTCGGTTTCTCGGGCCGCTTCCCGGCGAGTCAGAGTGGGTTGCTTGTTTCGGGGTTGGCACGTCATGCGCACGGCCAAGCGGCCAAGTAGCAATGGCCCAGTTGAGCCACGTCCACTGTGGCTCCGCCAGGCTCCAGCGAGACCACGGCGAGCCATCGGCTCTTCCCCCGGACCACCTACGAGGCTTCCGGGGGCGGAAGGAAGCGTTTGGCCCAGTCAGAGACTTGGGGAAGTTAGGGAAGTTGGACGTTTTCTGAGATGGCGATGTTTCTGGAGCCGAGAAATTGGAGTCTGAGGGTGATCTATTGGTCTCGCAACTACTGGACAAGCCAGGAGAAAGAACCTTAGAGTCTCGCATCCATACTCGCAAACTGAAACAGCCATGACTCATGAAGCAAAACGAACTCAGCCCAGGAATTGGGTCCTTTGTTTCAGGTCCGGTCTTTGATGGTCTTTGTAACCTGACCGTTTATCAAATGAAGGACACCGCGTGTATTGCTCCTACGCCAACGGTTGCCACCCAGAGTTGCACCCCGGGTCCGACTGGATGGGTACACTCTACACCGAAGCCATGTCATGGCTAAGCACACCCAGAGGACAATGTCAGACATCAGTCACTGTCCTCTGAACAAGCACTTGCAGACCTCAGAACTGCTTGCAGAGGGCCTGTGGATAAAGGTGATCACGGCAGCAGACTGAACATGACTCATGCCGGATTGTACAGTGGCATTGTGCAAACACGCTGACGCGCCGGATTGTATGGCGTACCGCCGGTTTGTGTGTCCGCTCGTCAGGGGCAAGCAGAAGAAGATGTCTCTTCGTGGCTACAGAAGATGAACACCTGCCCGGCCAACTCAGTTCACTGAGCCGACCATTGACACCGAACGACACGAAGGTGTCGAGAACAACACCGCCGACCCCCTGCCGCCTCGTCGCGGAAGGACTCAGTCCAATCCTTTCGTTCGAAACATGTTGAAACTTCCGCTCCGTTTTTGTCGACGAAGGACAACAGAAAGCAATCGAAAACCCTCCAAAACCATCCAAAACCCTCGAACTGCCGCCCTCCGTCGATGGAACAAACCGCGGCAAAGGCGTGGGCGCCTTCCTGCGGAGCACCTTCGTAAAAGGCCGTCCGGCCGAGGCGCAGGGTATGGGGGGGAGGTGGAGAAGTGGGTCGCAAAACCCGGACGTGTATTTTTTTGTTCTAATTGGCACCAATATAGGTGTTTGATGGTTTTTGAATAGATTCTCAAGCGTTTCAAGGAGATGTGTTTTTTGTTGACTCTTCTGAACAATACCTGCTGCAGCAGATGATCTCGATGTGCACAGATACGCCCTCTTTAGGTCGGCATGAGGTGATGTTTGAGGGTTTTCAGGGATGATGTGGATATATCGAAGTCACCGAGAAGACATGCGTAAAACAGTCTTTGTGTACGACAAATATGACTATATATAAGTGACTATAATATGATTTCAATATGTCTAGGTATATATATATAGACATTGCAATCTTTGAACGATTTGTCCAAGCAGTTTTCATTGAGAATATGTTTGGGCTGCAAAGGATAACCCTAGCATCCGGCTTAGGCTTAAAATAAACCTTGAGCCTTCACTGGTGCACTAAAAATTGTTGGTCACTGGAGGGCAGGGCAAATAAACTGTACAAGGTAAAGAAACGGTCGTCAGTGGCGTTCTTGAATCCCGAAGCTTCAAAGTTCCTGTTTTGAGCATGCGCAGCATGCCGCGCAGGAAGATAAGAGCGGCAATATATTATATCAATAATACAACTCGCTTTCAGCGGCTCTTGACGCCCTAGACAAATCCCCCCTTGCACCTTCACCGCAAAGAATAAGAGCAACACTTTTATGCTCACTCACTCATGAGCAAGCTAGCGTTCACGTTTGCGCTCCTCATCCACATGCACTCATATCCTCTGTCATTCCTATTTTCCTTCTGCTTTTGCCTCTACTTGTTATGAACACAAAAGCTTCACTTGGTCCTTGATTGAATTGGCTAGCTTGGAGCTCTTCATTCATGCCAGCCCTGTCGGAGGGCGGCAACGCGTCGACCAGCCAAGCGATGTGGTGATTTGAGGGTTCATGCGTCGACTTGCCTATGGGCCGGTCCCTGTTCATGGCTGCCTGTGAGAAACTTGCTGTAATTTGTGATAGCTTCGTAACTGTCGCCTCATGTAACTTCTTCTTATTTGTTCTAGCTTCATGTGGTTAAGCTTGTCTTGCTTAGGCATAGCAGCTTCCGATTTTACATACTTCATCTCCGCGTGCCCCGCTATCGCATCCGGCGTGGCCGGCGCGCTGGCAGCACGTCTTGACGTGCAGATGACGGCGCTTGGAAGCAGCGTAGCAAGCGTGCTCAAACGGTTTGGGCCGGCCCGGCACCCAACAACGGACCCACCATGAAACAGTATCGAAAACTACATGGTGTGAAACTGACATATATGATCATAAACCATCGAGCAAGAGGAGAACTGCGAAGTAGTTGCCTATGATTGCCTATGTTAGAACATCCTTCTTGTTCGATGTGCGAAGAAAAGCAACCAGATTGTTATGATCGGACCTGGTGGGGTGGTGCAGGATCTCTCCCGCAAGTACCACATCGGTGAGGAGCTTGGTGGGAGCCCCATCCAGTGTGTTCCGCCGCTTCGCCCAATCAGCGCTCGCCTCGAACTCCAAAAGACCTGGGTTTTGGACGCAGCGGCGGCCCTTGGACAGTGGATGAATGGGAGAGTAGGTATCCGGTACCCACCTGGTGCCCCCTATGGTGTGGAAGATTTTCCCCTCTTTCAGTTTCTGCGGAGCGGTGTGGTGGTCCCCGCCGTCTCCGCTTCTTCGGGTGGGGTCGTCTCGTTCGGCCAGGGCCGCGCTCAGGTAGTGGTGCCACTGCCACCGTGTTCCGGGTGCGCCCGGAGTGGAGCCGGCAGAAGTCGTGCGAAGCGACATCTTCACGGAGTGAATGAGGAGTAGCCCAGTAGTAGCAAAGCAGCTTGGGTTTTTTGGTATACCAGTCCCCATGGTGTTACCAGATATTTATGCATATCTCAAATGCACCTGAGATCTCTCTTTTTGGACGTTCCAGGGGAGGGTCGTTCAGTGTAACCAGGAGCGTAGGACATGAGCCTGGAGATAGACGAGCGCTGCGATTCTTTTGCTCAAGCAACTTGGGTGCAGTTTTTGTGCAACCAGCGCCGAGGCGAGCTGCCCTGAGACTTTTGAGCACGGCCATGAAGCTTCTTTGCTCCTTCATCGCTTTTGCAGTAGCAGCCGCTGAGCCTACCCTGGAAGCTCTGGAGGTAGATGACGCATGCGCAGCCAATGGTGATTGCAGCCTCGAATTGAACCAGCTCCGTGGAATGAAAGTGAACTATCACGATGTTTTGATGGCTGAGGAGGAGGAGGATGACGAAGTGATGGATGAGGAGGGTGGAGTTGGCGGAGCATGCACCAACCCAAAGGATATGGGAATTTGGAAAGGCGGAGGAAGAATGAGCTTCGATGGTGCTTTGAACCAGTGCGGTCGCTCTTGCGCTGCCGGTTTCCCTTGCACTCAGGGCTGCATGCAACAGAAGGGATACTCACAGGGATGCGCTGCTTGCATGGCTCATTTGGTGGAATGCTCCCGTGACAAGTGCATGAACCAGTGCATCAGCAATGACAAGAGCGCTGCCTGCACTGGCTGCGTGAAGAAAGGCTGCCGTCCCAGTATGAAGAAGTGCAGTGGCCTGAACGCCGGGGGCAAATAGGCAGAATTGCGAGCGCAACATCATCGTTCATGGCCCAATGTGGTCCTGAGCCAGACTTTCAAGAGATTTCAAAAGCATATCAGGAGTTTTGTGGATGTGCACGTATACCTTGTATACAGAATTTCCCAGCATGTCCAGATCTGTCTGCTTACTATATAATTTGATGAGCAAAAAGTTGCGCTTGGATGGTGTCGAGAGCCTTTTTGCACGCACGCAGCCTCTCGCCCGTTGAGAGCATCATCCTGCGCAGCTCTTAAATTATGTTACTTCTTTACACAAGTCTTTCTGGGTGCCCCTCCTGCTGATTGCCTGAGATCATTGTTTCTTTTCCCGAACATACACCTGTCTCGGTGAGATCGACGTCGGTCGGCCAGGCGAAGAACAAGCGCACTGGACAGGAAGTGGCCTTGAAGGCCATGTGCAAGTTGGGAAGCCAAGTGAGCTACGACCAAAACTCTCAAATGTATGGTTTAATGGGGATTACAACCGCCCATGGGCCCAGTAAAAGAGATCGTCTAGCAGGTGATCAGGAGCTCAAAATCTCAAGTGGGCCAAGTGATCTGGTGGAGAACATGTGTTGGAAAAGACTTGCTCAGGATGCTCAGGGCAGGGGCGATGCTCAGGGTGAGGCTTCGGCTTCGGCATTGGAAGAGTGCTGGTGGATCCCCAGTGTTGGGAGGGAGCGAGTTGGCGTTCGGAGGACTCCAATTTCCATCATCTTCCCCTTGAAACCCCCTTCCGTGCTGGCGCGCCATGCTCTTGGCCAAGGGATCGCATCCAAGATGAGCAGATGCTTCGCAATGAGATTAGCATCCACAAGGCACCGGATGGAGGATATACACAATAGTCAAGAAACAATAGTAATGATGACATGATGAGAATGCCAATATTTACTAAATAACTATACAAATTATATATATATATATACTACATGAATAAGGAGAGAGAGGGGGCGAGGTGAAGCTAGTGGAGAGGAACCGGAGCGGTCGTGGAGAGGAACCGCCACACCGGACGGAGCCGAAGGTCGCCGAAGTCGCCGAAGGAGCCGAAGGAGCCGTTCGCCGTTCGCCGCGAGGCGACGGATCATCCGAACATCTTGCGACTTCTGGAGATCTTCGAAGATGCTCCTGGGATTTGGTGATGTGGCCAGCCAGGCATCGGATGTCAAGGCATTCTGGTAGAGTAGGGGTTGTCTTTTGAAAATGAATCAACACATGCACTACATGGCCGGACATGACATGCATGCATACATGCATGGTTGGATGCTGTGGGGTGGCGGCCTGATTTACTATAGTTGCAAAAGATCAATCATCTATCCCATAGAGAAGACATCGAGAACGCGGGAAGCATGGGACGTGCAACAAAACCTTGGACCCAGTAGACCAGCTTCATGGTTTTTGGAACAGACAGGAGGCTTCTTCACACCCACCTGCATAATGCATGGTGCATGCGCCATGCAGATGCATTGAGCATACATATATTGCGCTCCGCATTTTGGCATATTAAATCGCATCTCGCTGAGGAAAAGAATCTCTTCTTGGTCACTGAGTTGTGCGGCGCTGGTGATTTGGGCAGGCCAGAACATGTAGGGGGGCTGGCCTGGTATGGTCTGGAACATGCAGGGCAAATGTGGGACGGTCTGGAGGAAGCCGGGGCTATTGATGGTCTGGGATGGGATGAATTCCGATAAAAACAGGAGTCGTAGTGCATGGATTGATTTCACTCAATCTGGTCTTCCAGGGTGATCCATTTCATCGCCGACCACGGTCTCTGCGCACACAGTTCCGAACTTCGGCTCCCCGGCCTCCTCGTCTCCAGGCTGCTGATGGCCAGCCAAGATGAATTCAGCGCGGGGGGCCTTTGAGCGGCTTCAAGCCTCCAGAGACCATCATGTTGGGCAAGCTTGATCCTCAGTCTTTGCGTTTTGTTGGCCTCGCGTGAGGCCAACATGGTCTCAGAAGAGGAGGCCTTTGAGTGGTGGAACCCAGGAGTTTCCGCGTCGTAGAATCGCTTCGATTCTCAAAGGTCTTGGCCTGGAGGCCAAGGGCAAAGGGCTTGACCTGGCAGGCTTTTTCTCCCGTAATACTGTAGCTCGTATTCTTAAAGAGACTGACTCCTTCGCACAGAGAGACTGACTCCTTCGCTCGCCGCGGGTGGCGCACACCCTTTTGTCAATTGGTCGATCTCTCGGCTGGCTGTTTCACACAGCCATCTGCTGAGGATCTTGAAGCAGATCTTGAATAGCATTGTGCGGTGCCTCAGGAGGCGGCGCCCACGGCTGACCCGCTTCTGCTTCCAACCAGAGGCGGCGCGAAAGAACCGGGGATGGGGTCGCTGGAGCCACCGTGGTGCGTTTCGTGGCGGCTGTTGAGTGGCTGATAATGGAAGAAGTGGCTGAAAATTGAAAGAAGTCAGAAGTCCAAATGGGGTGTGCCTGTTTGATCTCTTTGTTCTGACTCACCAATTTGGGTTATGATATTCTGCACCTGATGGCACCTGAAGCCACCAGGGACCCGTATGGGCATTTGTTTTTTTTTTTTGGGGGGGGACATGGTGGAGGGGAGCAAGTTCTTGCAGTCACATAGTGCTTTGGCCATCTATGGGACACCTGGGACACCCTTCTCCACACCAAACCTACACGCCACTCCGATCGGTCCGCTCTTCAGCGCTGAAGCAGCTCGACCGAGGTCTACTTGCACTCGAGAGGGATCGTGCACCGGGATTTGAAGCCAGGCGTCCTCCCATCGTCGGTTCGGCGTGTCCGGGGGGGGTGGAACCCCTCCTCCGGGGTCACCGTTGGAATACCCGAGGTTCCGATTGAGACCCTACAAATTCATAGGGTTTGGTTGCGCAGGGTAGGTTTATTTAACACACATCCCGTTCGGTTTGTTTCCTCAGTGACTGGGGATTTCAGTGACTGGATGATATTTACGTTGGGCCATCCAACTCCGTGATCAACTCTGTGGTGGAGGCGGTATAACAGGGAGTGTGTACCTCAAAAACCATGGGAAAAACCATGGGAGGCATGGGAGTTGAACACATTTCTAGATGTATACCTCTCTTGAAGCGTCCGATTCGCATCGGACTTTGGCTCTCGACTCGGTCTCCCTACCTTTCAACCAGTAACGACGGGACCCGACCCGGGGAAGCCTTGCGGTCACGAAGGACCCCGATGGGAAGGACGACGCCTATGCGATGGAAGCGGACTATATATGGAACCCCTATGGAGACCCTACTTCCATGTTCGTTGCTTCTGAAATTCCTCCACATGGTGTCGGCTGCAATCGCCGTGGTTGGGAACGCGCTTGGCACTAAAGAGAGAGAGAGAGAGAGAGAGAGAGAGAGTGCGCGTGCGCGCTGGATTCGTTGCCCCCCTCGGCTCTTTCTTTCTTTTTTTCCGCAGGATTCGTTGCTGGGAGTCGACCTTTGACCAACCTCTTTTTGTCCCCAGTATAGTCGTCACTAGTTTTTTCACGTTTATTTATTTTTATTTTTGTTTAAATACATTGGTGGCATTCATTTTGAGACATGATTTCATATGTATAGACTGTTGATCAAAAAAGCCCCTTCGGTGGAGATGATTGAAGGTGTGAAACATTGTAGCCACCATTCTGGTAGGGGTGGGTTGGCGATTCATCTACCGTTCTCCGTGTTTTTTCTGTGTGTTTTTTCTGTGGGCAGGCAACTTCCTCTGCTGTGCTCCGGACTCCAAGTCTCAAGATGAGTCGCCCGGATGCCTGGTGTTGCACAAGCACAAGCAAATGGCACGTCGGGGTTTTGGGACGTGCTTTGGCAGGGGTCAAAAGCATGTCTTTTTTGTTTTAAACTTGTTTTGTTTTGGGGGCTAAGAAAGAAGATATGTTAATTCTTTCCGTCTTGGGCTAAGGCTAAGCAAGAACGACCTGACCCAGACTTACAGCTTCTTACAGAGTAGCAGTCAAGAAGTGTAATTGTACCCTCGGGTACAAGTCCCTACTACTCAGAGCTCATCATCCATCTAAGACAGGTATGCAACATATGCAAATAGTTTTGTTATATACTAACATAATTACGATAGCATAGTTGGAGGCAGACCATGACAGACACTTCGAAGTTCAGGAACTTGAGAACAAAGTGATGTCATATACATCGATCCTCTTCATCTCCCAAAGCTATATGTAGAAACGGGAACTGCACGACGCTTCTCCCAATCTTGGAGTTTTGCTATTTTGGCGTCGATGACGTGTCCGGTCTCCCCGCGTTAAGATCCTTCGTGATGTACCCAGACAATTTGCCAAACTGACGCAGGCACATTGCTGGGACACCGGAGAAGACTCTGGGGACTACTCCGAACCTCTCCGGTCCCCCAAGCCCGATATGACTTGGGCCATCCAACCAGCTGCTGAGCGGTCGACCCGTTCCCCCCCGGGAGCCGACGCGTCATCGGCCCGTTGAGGCAAAACGTGGCGGGGAAGATCCGGGTCATCAAGTTGGCCGACTTCGGCGTGTCCTCCTACTGCCACGTGAAGCGCCGCGGGAGAGAGAGAGAGAGAGAGTGCGCTTTTTTGGGACGACAGGGGGTTTGGGGCTCTTTTGGGGTCCTCCCTGGTTTGGGGAGGAGGGAACGAAAGGAAGGGCTCCCCCACACTTTAAATAACTGTTTATCCCCTCAGGCTCGGCAGATATTTTCAGCTTCGACGGGTTGAGCAGAGCCAGAAGTTGGTGCGGAGCCACTGTCGACAGTTGTCCAGTGACGCATTTGCTGCTCTGCTTGCTCACCGTCGTGGACCTCGCTGCGACATCGCTGCGTTGCGATGCTTTTTCATTGAGCAAGATCCAACACATACCGCAGGCTTTCCCTGGCATGTTCAATGGCATTTGCTTGCCACATATGATTGTTAAATACGATCATATCTATCAGTATTACAATTTACAGCTGTAGTGAACCCACTTGCTCACCCATCCCAAAGATGGTGAGCACCATCCCTCACACGTAGGACGCTTGTGGCTAGGTGACAAAACGACACGCCCCAATGGTCAGAGCATGTCAGACCATGTCAGTTATTGCACATCCATACGATTGGCCTTCCGGAAGATGGGCGTGTCCAACTCATATCCTTTCCGCTTTTCCCCACGGTCACGGTGATGGACCCTTCGATCTGGTGGATTCCTATGTCCGGCGCCAGTATGTTCGG